CTAGCAACTTCTTAACGTTATGAAGCTCCCCAAAACAAAAAAGCTTAAATCCTCCCAACTCCTGGACTCATAACCTTATAATAATTAGAGGTTAGTATTTTCTTTTTTTTTATGGCCTCCGATGATGGGAGAGGGAGGGTGACTACAGGAATCCAGAGAAGTACTGAGAGTGTTTTGAGGTATGCGCTGTGTGTGGCTTTGATGGCTTGATATTTACGACTTCCTCTGGTCAATTCTTATGCAACTCCTACATGTTGGAAGTGTAGTCATGATATTTTTGGCAGTGAACTTCTGTTTTGTAGCCTTTCAAATTAGCTTGTATGCTTTAAACTCATCTGTGCAGATGCCCGTGTGGAGTGACTGACATGGTAAACTCAAATGTCTGTGTCACCCGAGCCCTGGGCATGACTGTGGTTGCTTTTTGGTAACACTTGTGCCACTGATTTCTACTTGAAGGGATTTATACTCATTGGGGAATAATTTTCTCACTTTTAGATGTAGTTCTCGAGATCTTCAATCCAAAGATGTTTAGAAATTAAATGGACTGATTTCCAAAGAGAGAAATATGCCTTAAAAATTGGTTTTCTCTCTGTTTTAATTTAAGAAAAAAGTGATATATTGATTTTTAACAAGGTCATGTAGTTTAAAAGTGTTTTGTACCACCACTTAAACTAGTTTGTGTATGTCAACAGAAGCATTTTCCTCCAGTGATGGAGGACCAGCACTCGTAGGACTGAAGAGCTATACAGCAGGCACTATCTGTGCAAAGTCACCCTGCTACACCCAGTACACAAAGCAAATGCAGAGATTATGCTGCACATTTTCCTTTCCTGGACCGGAGCCAAAGAACCCGCAGTGCAGAGCCTCTCCGGAGTTCCATCTGCTCTGTGCCGAAAGCCAGGCGTTCAGTTCGGGGTAGAAATAGTGTGTTCAGCCTTTAACTGGCTCATTCCTCGCTCTGGTCCACTTCAAGGGGTTTCTGTTGTATTAGGTTTTAATTCACTTCAGTAGCCGCGCAGTTTGAGATTATCTCAAGAAACGTAAATAGACTGCTTATCGAGTTGTGGCTATCACAACTTCGTGGGAGGGCATCTGTGGATTAAGTTCTTTGGGGTGATTGCTGTTCTGAATCTAGCGTTACACTTAACCAACGAGAATTGTACTTAACGGTGAGATCAGTTTTAAGTGTTCGGCATTAAATCTTCCTGCATCACACAGGGCAGGTACCAGTTTCATTTTATCTGAACCAAATTGGGCAAGACAGAACTGAGGGACCTAACTCCTCTTTATTTTTGGCAAAAATCAAGCTTCAGATTTTGAATTTTGGTTAGAAACTGTCTAATATTGAAGTTTCAGCACTTTATCAGGAAATAACAGGGGGAGGAGAGGACCGGCAGATCTTGCTGTGTTGGTCTGTGGCTTTTTCTCGTGCTGCATTTACATGACTGAAGCTGCATTTTCAGTGAAGAGCACTGGATGCAAAAGCAGAAGGACATGCGCTAGCAATGGCTGGTTCAAGGCTGGCTGCACCGCATACTGGTGCTATTATGGGTACCAAACCTGGGAATATCTAGGTAGGAGGAGATGACAGAACTGTTATATGTTTGACTTCCTCAGAGCAAAAAAATCGTGAAGGCTTTAGTCCTGTTTCAGATCAGTTTCAGTGAGTGTTGCTTAGGATCTCTTTCATCAAATGCTTTTTTTATTTCTTCGCTTGTTCTTCCATTTTGATCACATTTACAGTAATAATCCATTTCTCCCTCCCACTCCTCCTACACAACAGCCACACACAGATAATGTGTAACCTGCTGGCTTGTTTATCAACAGCATTTATGATTATATATGTTCCACTTTGTTTCAGAGCTATTTTGCAATATGGGTAATACTTAAATGAGGTAAGTTTACTCAGGCTGGCTGTGACAGGCCCTGGATCTTTCGCAATACAAAAATGGGTATCACTGCAAGGCTAACTTGTTAATGGGTTTATTCCTTATGTATAATTTGCGAGTATGTACTTCCATTTGTTTGGCATACTCTCTGTTTTCTGCTCCCTCCACTGTGACAATATGTCCGTTTATGGTGGTGGTCTGTAAAATTGAATCATTGAGCTGATCTAGGCAGGAAAAACATAACAAAACAAAAATCTCCTTTCTCTTCTCTGTCTCTTTTAGGCTGGCTCATTTCTGACGTTCATTTTACATTGCATTCCCACAAAATATTGCTTTGGTACAACTGAAGAACAAGTGAATTACAGAGCAGGTGTGGGGAAAATGAGCAAAGGTTTGGGAAACTAGGATGCTCTTAAGCTAGAACTAGACTTGAAGAAAGAAAAAGAGAATGGGGCAAGAGTAGTACAGGATTTAACATTTACAATACGGATTTTGTGAAATGCATTTTGGATAACATTTTGAAACTCCAGTGTGATGAGTGCCTTTGTGGCTGTGATAGTTTTTATAATTAAGATTTTATTAGAATTAGTGAGTCTTGTTGTCATTCTTGGACAATGTGTTTTTTTTTTCTCTCCAAATGTGTTTTTCATATGTGGAAAACTTATTTGTTTTTAATGCAAATTAATACTTCAACCAGAAAGTGCTTTTGGCCTATTCAGGTATATCTAGGAAGTACTTAAGGCTTGGAGCACTGATAAATTTGGTGGGCGAGCACCAAGGAAATTTTACACGCTTTTTAGCAAACATTTTCAATTATTGTGAAACCCCATACATCTGTGAGCAAAACTGATCCTGTTTTATTTCAGGATGTTCGTGTTCTTAAAAGCCTCGACAGAAAGCAGAAAATTTATGTAATTCTGAGCAATCCTTTACATGACCATTATAACAACCTACTTTCTACAGAGCCTTAATTCTTTGAAGTAGCTGAATTTTATCCATCTTGGCTTCAATTTGTCTGATCTAATAAAAACCTACAGCATTAAATTGCATATTACAGTTGTAAAAACTTATGGTTGTTTTAATAACAAACACTTGCACATGGTACAATAACCTAGTTGCATCTCTTTCGCTCAGATTCATAACTGTAGATTTAGCACAACTTGTGCTGCCAACAAGGTCAGACTCATTGCAGTAAATTTATTGCTGTGAAGAATAAAAAATGATTTAAAAAAATAAAAATAAAAAAAGCCTTTCAGAACTGACACGCTTTACCAAAAAACCCATAAGAAATGAAAGGCCGAGCCGTTACTCTGCATCAACAGTCCCTTGCGCATCAGTAGTTTGGGAAACAGTGGAGGCAAATCAAAGCAGGTGGCAATGCTGCTTAGCTGGCACTAGCCTGACCGTGCCCAGCTGGGTGGAACATGCCAGCTATCACTGCAGTTAAGTTTTTACTACTTTTTCCCGTATCTTGGACTGGATAGAAGAAAGTGGGCGTACTCCCATGCTACGATAACGAAATGGCTTCTGAAAGCTGGGCTGGCTTGTATAGACATGCCTTAAATCAAGGTGCCTAGTACTGAGGGACACGCTGCAAAATCTGCATATGACTAAGAGTCAGGAGATACGTACAACGGACCTTGTCGAGCCACAGGGGAGGGGATACCCCCCACCCCAGCAGATGTTAGCCGTAGGACTTCTTCAGAACTCCTTGTTTAGGCTGGCTGGGTGTGCAGCTGGGCCACGCAGTGATTTGGGAATTGTCGGCTTTAGCAGCTCCTTTCTGTGCGTTTCCCTGGCTTGGCAGAGCAGGGCCACGGAAAACCCCGAGCGCCCGCTATGCGATCCCAGAGCACTCCCCGGCAGGGAGTGTGCAGCACCCCTTCCCTGCGGGCCCCTGAATCTGGCTCGCCATCCTCACTGCAGAAACAGGAAGTGACATGTCTAATAAATAAGTACCTTTTCCTATGTTCTTCACTGCTTTTTTTTCTTTTCAGTTTTTCAGAGCTTTCTTTGCTTCTTGCATGAATTTTACCAACATAGGTATCATCTTTTCAGTAACATCTAACCTGTGTCCCTTTGACATGGCCTCTTTTTTCAGCACATGGGCTGCAATACTGTACGTAACTTGGCAAATGCATCCGAGACTGCTGAAATGTCTAAGCCCAGTGGGATGAACTAGAGATGGACTAGCAGTCTGAATTCCTTGTGTGGTTTTTTTTTTTAATTCAGACAAGTATGGTCAGATTTCATTTAGTCATTTTGTTTTATTTTTTGTCATTTCAGTGGTGGTAGGGAGTGTTCATTCTAGGTCAACATTTTTTTAATTTTATATTTTTAAGTTAGACACCTAAAAGCCAAGTTTAGGCACTCCAAAATAAGGCTTAATTCTCATTAGTACCAAGTGTCTGCAGGTCCCATGGAAATCAAACGAATACAGCTTTCCATACTTCAGCATGTTTTTGTTATGATTAAACAGACACTCGTAAAACTCAGACAAACTGGAATCAAGTTTCACATGAAACTGAATTGACATTTTTTCTTAATAGGATCCTTGTAATTAGTGATTACCAGATGCGTTTAAAATGTGTGAAATGCCTGCAGGAATGGGAGTTAGGAGGGGGGAGGGATGCCAAACACCTCAGATCTTCTCCTGGCAACCTTTCATTTTAAATTTCGGCTCTGCACATAGATGAAGCAGCATGGTTTCTATAAAATGTTCAGCTGTGGTTTCACATTAAGTTGATGTTACCAATAAAGAGAGTGACTTGTAACTGAAAACTTATTTGCTTATAAATAGCAGGTTTCGCTCTTGATGACTCCCCACTTTATTTCAGTGGTCGTGTTGCTGTTCGTACGATAGGTGTTATGAAACCTGCCAGTTTTCTAATTCCAGCAACTATCATAATGCTATTGGTTGTCATTTTGATCTAAAGAGAAGACTAAGACTTTTGGGCTCCTTTTCTGATGAACTAGAGATGTCCCACATAGGCTGAAGAAACATAATCAGGGCTGTTACCAGCCTGCAGCACAGGAGCAGAATGACTCTTCTGGATGAGGTGGCGTTGGCTCACTGTTTGTACCATCTGTTCTCCCACTTGTGCCGGAGAGATGGTGGTACCTCATAAAATTAAAAAAGCTTCCTTTTTTCCCTGCTTGGAGTTTTCATCCAAAAGGGAATATCTAAATGTGGACTGCTTACTCTTACCCTGATGCGAGTCCTTTCCTCTGGGAGGGGTGCTTTTTTTCTTCTCTCCTTTCTCTTTGGAAATGCAGTGCTGGACAGTAGCTGGCCCTGACCAGAAGGAAGCCTGTTAGGAGCTTGTATAGTTCTTGAACAGCGCACTCGTGCACAATAACTCACGCGTGGCTCCTTTTCTTTTCTCTCCAAGTGATCTAGATCACTCATTACTCAAATTCTCTTAAATTTGGAGCAGTAGTTTTACTGGACGCTTCCATGAAGTATATGAATTTTCTAGTCAATGTGAGGACATGCTTGAACTCTAGAGTATTTAAGATAGTTGATTCTTTTAGGATGAATAATAACAGCCCTTTTTGCAACACTTCCAATGTTCCTGTGACTGCTGACAGCTTTGCTCCTTGGGTAGATTCTTGCCACCGCAGCCAGAGACTGTTACTGCTCCTACCCTTGCAAAACTGTCCCTGACAGAGTGGTGGACTTAAGAGGGGATGATGCTGGGAAGGAGGAAGTAGATTCCTGGCTTGCTTGTCAGCCATTTGTGGTATATGAAGAGGAAAACAGGAAAACGTGCAGAAATGTCATGCAGGCAAGATATGGTTATGTTTTCTCATTGCAATTGTGTACTTAAATTTTTCTTCCTAGATTGTTATCTTTTTATTTCCCCTTAAAATCTGCTTTTTTCCCTCCCTGTTTCTAATAGATTCACTGTGAGCAGCTCAAAAGGAAGAACAAAGGTGCAGAGGATCATCTAGAATTGTGCTCCCATCAGTGTGTTGAGATGGAAAGGTATTAACTACCTTAATTTTACATGGAGAAACTTCTTTTATTTTTATTTTTTTAAAAAGTAATTTATGTTACATTATTGGAAATATATAGTTGAGTCTTTCCTGCATGTGTCAATCAATTTATCTTCCAGACACCCAGGTTAATACTTTTTTGTTCTGCTTTAATCTGTCCTGTGGAGATCTGTATTGGTTCTGGTTAAATAAGTGAAACGTGGAAATTTTCTGTACTGAGAAAAGCAAAATCATAGAGAATAATAGTGTAGGTTGGAAGGGACCTCGGGAGGTCATCTGGACCGACCTCCTGCTCAAAGCAGGGCTAGTTAGGTCAGGTTACTCAGGGCCTGTCTAGATGAGTTTCAGTCATCTCCAGGTATGGAGATTTTGCAACCTTTTTGGGCACCTGCTTCTTCATGAACTAATATTACTTCTAGTGATAATGGCAGTAAAAGAGGTGGGACTGTAGGATATAGAGATAAAGAGGTCACGTTATGGCTACAGCCTCTGATGAGGCTGTGATGATGGCAACACCTTTCTAAGACTGTCAGTGAGTAATAAGGAGCCTTAAGAAAATTAATAGTGCTCTTAGTGTATACAAAAAAAGGACCGGGGGGCAAAAAAAAAAAAAAAAAATTCAAGGTAGCTGAGAATCAAGGTAGCTGAGAATGATTAAAAGGTAGCTTTAAAAAGTATTAAGTATAGTGTGTGGATTTGAGAGAGAGAGAAAAAGAAAAACTGTTTTAAGGCAACTGTAGATTTTTTAGGGAAGCTTAAGAAATAATACCCTACCCTCCTTTCTTCCTGTAAGAAGCATTTTTTCCCAGGTTAGTTTATTGTGAAATAATTGGATTTGGAATCCCTTGTGGACTGGGGTTTCCCATTTATTCAAGACATTGTGAGCTGCTGCTGGTGTAGTTTGACTCCAGCCTGTCTCTGTGAAGGGAGGGAGGCGCCAGGTTCCTGTCTGGTGATGGCATCCCTGGTGAAACCGTATGTCGGTCGCTGACAGTTCAAGCCCTGGACCTGTGATGCAGACAGCCGCGCGGCGAGCTTCCTCTGCCTTTCAGCTTGGCTGCCTAACAGCTACCACAGGCAAGAAGTTGGCTTGACTCAGCAGAGCTGGTTGTCCTCTGTCAGCTACCGTATGTTAAATTTCCTGGCTGCATTTCCAAATGGTGTTCATCTGTTTATTCTGCTTGCGCTGTTAGTAGATCACGGAAAATATCTCAGGTCTGTGTGGGAGACACTGACCCAAATGAATCGTGGACTTGTTTTCCTCCAAGAGTGCAGCCCAGCTGTGAGCCCAGGTCAGTAAGGCGTTGGTGACGTATCCACATCCTGGCCAAGGCTGAACTAGGAGGCAAAATGGGCTGTTCATAGGTCATGTTCCGTTTGTAGTGATGCCTGATTCGGGAAAAGAAAGAATAGTGATGTAAAGTACCAGTTAAAAATGTCAACGATGTAATTGCATCAGAATCATAGCTTTCCACAGAAATGAGTACGTGTAAGACTTGAATAGACTCGTGGTGCTCAAGCTATATCTGTGGAGCGAGCAGCCGGTCAAGCTGTATCTGTGGGACAAGTAGCCAGTCCAGAAAGGGCTGTGGGAGGGGGACCATTTCAAAAAGGTGCCTACTGAGGCTAGGAGGGTGTCCTAAAAGGGGTGCAAGCTTTTCTAGCTATTGGTCTTCACAGAAAAAGAGCAAGCACTTGAAAACATCTAGATTTGTCTCCCCTCTTGTTTTTTAACCCTTCATTTTCAGTTCTTCTAACACTTTCCTGCCATCTCCCACCAGCTTTCTGCACGTGTGCATTTCAGTGGGGGAATTCATCTGCTCAGAAAGCACACGCTACTTGGTGGCTCTGCTCGGCCGAGCTTTCCATTTGATTGATTTTCATGGCAAAACTTCAATTCCGTTTCCACTAGTGATCCGCACGCAGCTATGTAAGTCCTGGATGATGAGTCTGGGTGACAGTGCTCCATTTACCGCTTCTCCAGAGAGAGTCAGCTGTAACTCGTTCATGGCTCATTTAAAGCCCAAGAAAGTTGGTGAAAATAATTTAATTGGCTTTCCTGAAGTTTGAACTCAGCCCAAATGCTGTCCATGAGGAAGAAATTCAATTATGGTCTTCATAGTATAATTAAGCAGAAGATCTAAGTGAAAGGGGAATGATGTTATTTTCCTGACATACAGGCTGTATAGGGTACAGAAGTGAGGCGGCAGCATTGAAACCCAGTCCCAAAGGACAGGAACCTCCAGGCACGGAGGGGAGCAGCACTGTGTGATAAGTAACATGCCATGTAATGTGAACCAGCTAGTTGTCGTCTTCTTGCATGTTGCATATTTGTTGAGGGGAATAGTCAAAGTCTGGGAGACACTAAGTGCCTGTATATCAGTAGCTTTACTTCTCTCTTTACTGAGACGGGACAGATTATAGGTGCACCTTCAAATAATCACTGGGCCCTTTTTTTTTTTTTTTTTTTGGCTTATTTTCAGAGAAACCAGATGTGTTTCCATTAAGAACATGTACCTCTTTTGTTGTTGTGATTTGTGTAATTCTTAAAATTAAGCAAAACTATTAAAGAATAATTGTTTCTGTTCACGTTAACAGCACACAGCTTCTCCAGATGTGGCATTTGACAGCCAGACAGCTGCTGGCTATTAAACGTGCCTTAAAAGCTCCATTCCTTTGTCATAAAGGGAACAGAAGTGTAGGGACGTTTATGGGGTGATAGGCAGATGTTTTGGCTTCATCAGATTTGAGCGAAAGTTTAAGTGGTTTCTCTGCTATAGTCACAGTACGTACATGTTTTAACCCCTGTCATACACCTTGCCTTATGGAGCTATCTTCTCGGGACTGGAGTGAGATTATTTCTAATCTCACTGCAGTTACCTCCCAAGCAACAGTGCCAGCACTTTTTTCGCAACATCTGGGACATCTCACTCCAAAGACAATGCAGTTCTGCTAGGTGGGTCTCAGCTGCTGCTGGTGGCTGGCTTTCCAGCTGCGCTTTTGAAATACTGGGTGAATTTTTTCTGGTGAAATTTGAGTTAAAAAATTAAGTTGGAAATAATTTGAAATAGTGTTGCTTTATTTTTTTTTTAAACTTTCTTTTTAAGTATATCCTCATAATCGTCAAAGGCAGGTGTTCTTTTTGTGTTTGTACCAGTGCAGTACGCTTTATGCCCAATAAACTGTTTTTTATAGTGGTACATGTGAAGTGGAATGTAGAACCAGTGGAGCTCAATTTCAAGAGATCTGGCTCAAATTCCCAAGCCTAAACTCTGAGCGGAGATCCGCTCGCTGGGTGTTGAGTACTGGAATAGCACCACTGATCCTTAGGGAGCTGCACCCCATTGTAAATATTCTCTCATGAGGCTGCAAAAATTTTTTTCTGTAACAAAAGTCTTTTTGTTTTCTTGGCAAAATTTTGTTCTTCCCATTGCTTGTTGGACCGGAAATTCTTTGTTGTCTTAACTGGATAAGATTTTAATATTAAAATCCCAATGTATTTGCATGAAAAATAATCTAAGATTTCTACAAAACTGAATTCAAGGAGAGCAAAAATCCTGTAAAATCATATGGAACATAAAAGAATAGGCTAGTTCTACAGATAAACTGTCATTTTTAAGAATTATATGCCTAATTTTATTCCTATTTTAAGTCTATTTCTAGTACAAGTTAAATTAAATATTCTGTAATCCAGGTCTCGTTCTCTCCCATATTCTAAAGGCCTTTTTCTGAAATGAAGTGTGTTATCATAAACAGGGGATATATTAGCTGAAACGGTTTGAAATTTGCCACATTTTTTAATTTATCCCAACCAGTTCATCCTCCGTAATTCAAGTGCAGAAATTTATTTCTTTCCATGGATCTGCTCCTTAGGCTTAGCCAAGCAAGAATCCTACGTCCCAAATGCCCACCCAAGGGGATGAAGCATGTGTTTAACCCCTAGACTCTGGAATTCATTTCCCGTCAAAATATGACTCCGTGGTGTTGGCGTCTGGCTGTAAATCCTGGCTTAAAACCTTTTTTCACAATTGTTTATGGTGTGTATTTGCGCTTTGACCAATCACAGGAGAATGACCCCAGCACACCAGCCTTGAAATTATTATTTCAAATAGTTATATGCCTTCGGTATTAATATTTTGCAACAAATGTCTTGGGACATGTTGTAGGTATGTCCATTGTTGCCACATAACTGCTATTAGTAAAAGTCATAATGCCCGTTTCCAGTGAAAACCGGGGAGAGCCAAGAGCTCACAAATGGTACCAGCTGCAGAGCTGGGACTCTGCATGGGGCTTGTCCCTGGCTATTTGATAAACATGTATTTCTTGGCCATCAATCTGTGCTGCTACAAGCCCAAAGCATGTGGCTCATGAAAAGAGCATGGGGCAGGCCATCAGGAGCTGAACTGGTTGCTGCTCCATTATGAAAGTGTGTATTAGTAGGAGTTGTTCTGTCTTCTGCTTCTTCTCCTGACCAGGAAAAGAAGGACTGCAAGGAGTGCCCTTGATGCCATTAGAAGCCACTGGTGTCTACATCTCACGCTTCCTTTCTGGTGCCATCATATTCTGGCTTTAGTGATAGTTTTGGGCCAAATATAGGTTTTGCTCTGGCTCCGTTAAATGCATAATTTAATAAAATTCCCTGTGTGTGTACAGCCAGTACTTCATTGTCTACCCCTGTGAGGACAGACAGGCCAGCATGGTTTATTTAACTGGGTGGCATTGATCTGCGTAGGAATTTCAGTCCCATTCACATACAAAGCATGTGCTGGGCACAATTTTTGTTCTGGCTCCCAGCTGAAAAACTGAATTGCTGTAAAAAGTATGCAACCATTTACAAATAATTAATTACAAAAAGCCGATAGAGCCTAGAAATTGAAATGGCGCAAAGATGTACCGTAGAGCAAAAAGTGAAAACCATTTTAAAGGCAGCTAGGTGAATACGTGGGAGAAATGAAAATATCTTTAATGTGGTGCACAGTTAGTCTCTGGCAGTGAAACCCTGCATGGATACGGCAACTTGCAAACCAAAGAGAACAGACCTAATTTCTTATTCTTGGAGGACATGGCTAGAAGGATATTGGCTACTACTTTTCAGATATGACATGGAAATTGAGTAAGGTTGGGCTCTCTCCTTTTCTTGCAAGCTGCTAAAACTTATGCTGGGAGACCAGCTTCCTTCATTACATCTATAGGTTCTGCTTCCATGTGAAATGTCTTAATTTTCCCAAAAAAGGAAATTTAGCAACTAACTCAAAGTTTACAAAGAGGAGTTAATATTCTAATCTTTTATTGGCTTCTGCATTAATCACAGCATGCTATGTATATCTTCATATACTTTAGAAAGATTTTGCACATAGAAGGGATACACTTTGTCGCATATGACCCACATAAAAATGCTTTTAATATTCTCTGATGATTGATTTTACAAAACATAAAAAACCTATCTCCCAAATTTGAATGGATTTCATTTTTCTGATTTTTTTTTTCCTAACAGATTGCCTATTTGCATAATTTAATTACTAAAACCCTAAATACCTGATTTTAGCAAATGTTGGCAACAGCGTAGAACAGTAAGTGTATTAATGGTGCAGAAACGTACCTGTGAACTTCACAAAACCAAAAGTAGTTCTGAAAAGATTGCTTTCTGCAGAAGCTAAATGCTGTGTGCCCTCTAGAGCTCACCAGGGGAAGCTCCGGTAATCATCAAGAACTGTCTTGTTCTGGGGTAGCTCCTAATTACCAGTATCTTGAAGACGTATTCAAGCGCTCAGATCATCTGTGTGCTCTGAAAGTCCAGCCTGTAAGATGGATCTAGACACCAGATATGATTAACGTTTTAGATCACAATAAATATATCCTTCCAATTACCAAAGTGGCTAATATTAAAATACAGATAAACGGAGTAATAGTTTCTGGTCAGAAGACCTTAGTCTAAAAACTGAGGGAAAACCAAATGCACTGAGAAATCCAGTCAATGAAGTGATTTTCTGACTTTTGTGACGATGTCGAGACACATGGATATAACAGAGCAGCAATCAGTTCGTAGGGATTTGAGTCTCTTGCGGTTCCCTTTCTTTTACCCAGGCACAGCTGGTTCCTGCTCTTGCCCAGGTACTCCTAAGCCCAGAAAGGAGAATGCAGAGAGACAGGGTGGGAGCAGCCAGAGGTGAACATCATTTACAGCCACAGCATCAGACAAAATGTGGGGAGCAGAGCAGAGGAATAGATACTTCCTGGCTGAAAAGAAATATTTAAAGCCAACCCACCATCTTTATGGGGTATTTCCCAGCTTGATTCACGCTCTGATCTCAGGAGGCTGTGGTCACACATCTCCTCTCGCTGTGGCTGAACCAGCAGCAGAGATGAGCGCAGCCTGCCTAAACACTTGCTGCTGCACTCCTGCTAGAGGTTGCTGCCCGTCTTTCACTGTCCTCAGGACTGCACCTAGACATTGCTCCTTCATTTTGAACAGTTGTTTTAGTCTAAGCTGCCTTATTTGACTTAAAAGAGTTTAAGAAACCTTGACTACTTTGACCAAGCCGGGTGAGTAGGTTGTGCTGGCAGTTGGGGATGGTAATTTGCAGTAGAGAGGTAGTGAAGGTGGAAAGCGGCAGGGGCCGTAGAGGAGTTAAACTCTTTGGCAGGCTTTGGAGCAGCTAGAGCAGGATGTGTGACTGCAACCCTGGGCAATGAGCAAAATACACTTTACCAGAAGCGACTTGTAGGGCCAGAGTTTTTTCTCTCAGCTAAGCACTAAGCTGGTTGCTCTACTGAAGTCACACAGGAGGTGTGTGGAGCGAGGGAAGAGGAGAGTAACTAGCCTACCTTTCGTTGCCTAAGCACAGATAAAAAACTGACATTTTGAAAGCTCAGTCTGAAAATATTGGCCTGTGGTTTTAGCAGCTCTGCCCGAAATCCCTCAATACTGCTCAGTAACGTTTCACCTCACTTTATTTAACCTCTCCCTTCCTTTTGCCACATTTCTAGGGGCTCTAAGGAGGCTGCAGCAATAATTTCTCCCTTACTATGTAAATATAACTTCATTCACTTTTCCTAAAACTGCACCATGAGCGACTGCTTCTGTGCTGTGGCTTTTCGATTCTTCCGAGCACCCTCAAAAGCACCAAGTGCTCTGCACAGCTTATATCCAATTCTGTTAAGCAAAGCAATCTCAGGCTGGGTCAGGCATGGGAGTCCAAATGAAGATGCTGTTTTCCAGGGAAGTGCACTTGAGAGAAAAGGGGTGTTGCTACTTACATTGCAAAGTTTGCATTATGTAGCTGATTAAAAATGAAGGCTATAAGCAGAGCACTTGGTCATGCTGCTGCCTGAGAATTTATTGTCCGGGAACCTTCGCACAGAATTGCTTAAAAAAGAAAAAGTACCACTCGCACTGGTCCATCCAGGATTTTGCAATATTTAGCGAGATAGAAAAGGGCTGGATTTCTTTCGCAAGGTTTGTTGTTTTCCTTCTGTAGTTTTCTTCACGAGCTGCCACGTGGCTAACCCGTGCTGCTGGGGCTCACCTGCCACCCACGCACGGCTGAAGCTTTGAAAACTGCCACGAGCGTTCAGAGCAGCTGCAGCCTGCTGCACTGCCATGACATTCATGAAAATGTGCATCGAGAAGGTCTTTCTCTTAATCGTCATGGCTTTGGAAGGGAGTTATGGCCAGTTAAAGTGGTCTAACAAAAGACAATACTCTCTTCAGTTGGGTACTCTGTTTCTTTGAACTTGCACTAGCTGCTATATTGGTTTAAAAACAACAACAACAACAAAAAAGCAAAAGGTTAGTACGAAGAAATATTTTTCTGCAGAGAAGAAAAATCACATGATGTGTCCTAGTGCTTCAGGACCTTCCAGCGCTAAAAACCCCGGGTCTTGGTTCCTTGTGTAAAAGTCCTATTTCCCTATGCCATAGGTCTAGCTCTCGAAACACATCCAAATATCTTGTTTCTGCCGTGAAACTTTTTTTTTTTTTCTGGTGGCTTCATGGCTCTAAACCTGCCATGAAATTCCAGCTTCTCCAACTGCTAGGGGGCAAGTAAAAGAAAAAGCTCTTGAGTTTTACTTGTCCTTATTTGCTACTGTTGGTATTTTATTGTAGTACCTCCTGCAAATGATTTTGCATTCATGCTTAACGAACATACATTTCTGTTATAGTCTGTGTGTTGCAAATATCAAGAATAACATGAATCATTTTATGCTATCAGCACGAAATTCACCGCACTTATTTACTCTTATGATTAGGATAGATGGGTTTGTTTATTGGATAATTTTATCAATGGCCCTTCAAGAGTTTCTTCAGAACCTGCAGTGCGATCCCTGTGCATTGCCTGTCTAAACTGCAATAAGTATAACTCATAAATTCGTACTGCTTCCAGTTTTTCTGTAGCTCAAACGAAGAATTTAGTATTTTCTGCCTAAATCAAGAAGTAATCTTGCTGTAACAGGTTGGTAATACTTTTGAGCCTTGCAGTTTGCTTTCTGGTCGTGCATTACTTATATTTAGAGTTGGTTTAAGCTGATTAGGAAATGAAGGTCTGAGCTTGCAAAAGACATGAGTATTTCTTGAAAACTTGGGTTGGGTCTAGGGCTTTTGGGGGTTTGTTTTCATTATGCCTAGGTCCATTCTCTGAAAGTCACATTCCACCATTATGGTGTATCAGGTGAATCAGCCCTAATTGCTAGTTAGTTCTGTGAATTTGGAGCAAGCTCTTAAGTGCATATAAGTCCTGTGTGTCCTTAGCAGAGAGACTGAAAGAAAAGAATCTTCCCACCAAACAAATACCACTTTAGTGTTCACTAACAGAGCAATTTTTACAAGATAGGAACATTTTTAAAAAGAACTTTCAGGAAAAAAAATTGAAAATGCACATCAGGTATCTATTACGAAGTGATGCAGAAAACAAAATGTGACATCAAAAAACTTTGTGAACTGAGCACCTGGTTTTGGAGTTCGCAACCAGTTTAACCATTTTGATTGCATTTTTGTTGAAGTTGAATATAAAATTTTTGAAACGGTGGGTGGGTGGGGCTGAGGGCACATGACAGTCTTCATATAATCCCCAAAATGGTTGGCTTGGATTTTGTAGACCCAAGGTAGTAAAATTCATAAAGACTGCTTGTTTAAATATTTTAAATGAATTTCTGCCACAAAGCCCTTAGAGATTGCCTGTGTGACACTGCTCTAGGGCTCTCTGATTGCGTACCAGGAAGGAAGGTAGCAGGAGCTTGGTGCAGGACTAGCTCTGCTGTCTGCGTTGTCACATTCAGAAGACAGCTGACAAATTTACCTTCTCTGTGCTTCAAGTTCTGGTGTAAAGTTTAACATTGCTATTTCTTTCTAAGCAGGTGTGAAAGTAAAGAGCTTGATGTTGAAATAAGGAACCTGATAGAGAAGAATAACACTTACCAGTTGTGTGAGGACCCTGAACCTATTGCGCAAGAGAGTCCGAACCCTCAGAGAATTTCGTGTTCCCTTAAGGTAAACGCAGTCTGCTTTTGCAATGTTTATCTGCCAGGAAAGAACATTCAGGGGATGTTCCCTGGGTGACTTGATTATGCATGAAACTTTTTGATTTCTGAAATGATGCAATGAACTTGCTACACATTTTTTTTTTCTTTCTGATACAGCTACTTTCTCTTACAAGGAAGGCTGAGTGAGAAGATATGTTTTATGGTGCTTTAAAAGGTCAACTAAACCCACTGAGTATCCAAAGTGACACCCTCTGTAGCCAGCTGTGCCTTTTGGATAACACAGATCGACAAAACTGTATACCCCAAGAGCACTGACATTTTTTTAGGTTGTTGCATTTGGTAGTTCTGATTTAGCTGAGGATGGGCAGAGGTGTGGGGGACAAAGATCTTTGGGAGTGTCAGGAAAGCTTTTAGATAAATACAAAGAAAGAAGAAAAATTATGATTCAAACCCACACTTCTCTGGTATTGCAAACAGAAAATTGTAAGCCACCTGCTAAGATGGTTGTCTTTGCTTGCAGTGAAGCAGTGGTTAACAAGCATGGCAGAAACTTGCTCTAGGTTTCCCTTCTCTCCCCTGAAACAGCAAGCTGCTTTTTATTGTGCAGCAGGAGGACAAAAGGAAATTCCTGTTTTCTGCAAACTGGGAAAGGGAGGAGTGAGGGGTACAGAGGAGAGGAGTGATTAAGCCGTGAATGCCATCCACCTGCAAGGGATGACACACTTACCTGCCTGTGTGACTCCACTATGGGGCGGGGGGTGGAGGGGGAAGGAAACCTCTGAAGGCTGTGCCCCAAGGCATGATGCAGGAAATTAATGTGGAGGTAAAGGAGAGATGACTCTCTTCTATGAAATCCGAAATTACACATAGCTCCTTTCACATGTAAACCGCCATCTCCAAAATGACTCATGACCTCAGGGCATGAAGCTGAGCTGAGCCTAAGGAGATGCCCCAGGGTCAGACTAGTGGGATTAGAAACAGTGAGAGAGAAGCCACAGAGAGGAATGGGGAATCCCGGCCCCAGGGGAGGAATAAGCATGGTGAAACAGAAGTCAGTGCAGAATTAAGTAGCACCGAGCTATGAAATTACAGGGCAGAACAGCAAGCCTGTTTCCGCAACGGTCTGTGGAAACACCGTCCCCCGCGCGTTAGCCTCCCTCCAACAGAAGGAGATTTGGGGGGGGGGGGGGGGAGG